ATCCATCTGTCTCGTGTAAATGTCATAAATAATAACATATTTGGAGCAGGCAGCTCCTGGACACAGGAATGGCAGGATCAGGAAATGCCAAAAGGCACATTTTTCTTGGCCTAAGAAACTGTCTTGGAGCCAGTTCCTCCAGCCTGTAATTCCAGAGTGCTCAAGGCAACGTGGTGGGAGGAAAAGGAACGACTTCCAAACCTGATTTAACAGTTTAGAAAGAGAAAGCAAAAACAAACCAGAGGTTTGTGCTGCTTGAGCACTTCAGAGGGAACAGGGCCTTGAGGGGAGGAGGGAGCTCCCTGCTCTCCTGCTCCAAGGTGGGATCTCCAGCTCCATTTCCAGGACATTCCAGTCCAAGCAGTTTATTGTGGGTTTTTTTTTTTTTCCCTTTCTGGAAGTTGTTTGCTGAAGGCAGACCGAGTTCAACCCAAGCTTTTAAGCCTTCCCTTCCCCAGCACCACGAAATATGCTAAGGAAGAGGAGCCAGTTCAGCTTGGCACAGTTACAGAATGAATTCTGTGAGTAAAGGAGCTTTTTTTGTTAAATATTAAAATGACACACTGCTTTCTGCTCTACTTAGACCTTTTAGTGAGGATAAACCCAGAGGTACCCAAAGCCATCACACACAAGCCCTGCCCTTCCCTTCGCTCCCCAGACTTAAATGCTGGCTGGAAAAACTCCTGGATACTGAAGTTTTATTTTGACAGAGCTCTCCAGAGTATTTATTCCTCAGTCACATCTCAGCATTGACTGCAAAAAAAAAACAATTGAAAAAAAAAAAAATACCCTGGGTGACCCTTCTGCACAGTTCTGTGCTCGAATTCCCCATGCACCGGTCCTGCAACTGCAGTTTATGACGAGTCATTAAAACATTTTCCATTTCGGGCATTTCAATATTTAAACAGCCAGAGGGGTTGGCTGGTGGGAGATTTGATGCTTGAATTATCTCCCTGCCCTGGTCCTGGTGCCTGCAAATCCTTTCACCCCCTTCCTGGAGGAGCATTTCCATCTGAGCTGAGAGGGGGGTCCCAAGAGGGTCTGTTCGAACTGTCAACTCATCTGCGATGGGTTTTGATTGGGAAGCGAGCTCTGTGTGCCACAGAACAGCAAGAAAATAATCAAGTGCCCTCAGGGGAACTGGGAGGTTCCAGGATTATGGGATAGCTGAGGCTGGAATTTCTTGGTCCCTGGAAAATGCCACCTTGGAGGTTTTTAATGCAGGCCGAGAACACCCACGTCAGGAGCCACAGCAAGGAGGGGAAAAGCCAGCTCATTTACCCCCAAATCAGATTCCCAATAAAACATTTGCCAACAGGAGCTGTGGCTGCTGAGAGAATTGGGCAGAAACACTGAAAACAAGGGAATAGTTGTTGGGTTTTTTTGGTTTTGTTTTTTATCTAGGCAAGGACAAGCCTTAAACCTCTAAACTGTCCCATCCTGGCCTTGCTTTTGCAGTAAGGATGGCTGGAAAGAAACAAGCTAAGCTTACAGGCTTCTGCAATCCTCAAGAAATTCAAATTTACCTATTTCTCCTCTCTTTTTTTTAGAGCCCACGGACAGGGGAATGTGCTCGGTTTCTCCATGAACACAGAAAAACATCTGTTCTTCCTTCTGTTTCACTGAACTGCAGAAGGGACTTACCTGGAATAACAGGGTGCTCTTTACACAAAACCTGTTCTTTATACACTTCTAAATCAGGTCAGTTAAAAAGGCCAAAAAAAAAAAAATATATATATATATATATATATAAAAAAATAATTATCTCTTTTTTATCTGCAAGAAAATGTTTATTCTTTGTAAACCCCACAGAAAAAAAAGAATGCAGCCAAGACCAAGTATTGAACGAAAACTGTGCCCAGGTGGGCAGCAAAATGGGGGAAACCTCAACACAAAAAAGTCAGTGACAATATTTCATGTTTTGCACAAAGATGAAAAACCTATGACATTTCTGAGTAACACTTCCATGGTGACAATTACACAAGATGATTCAAAAATGCAAATGACAGCAACATGCACACCTGGCTAAAGCTAGAAATTGTATCCCAAAGGAATTACCTGTGATTAAAAGGATGTAACTTTAATGCTTCTATTGACTTGCTTGTCCTACTTCTTTTTGCTTTTCCCCCACGAGGCAACATGCCAATTAACACCCTAATTTAAAAAAAAAAAAAAAAACAAAAACAACAAAATACACAAAAATCTTTTCTTTTCAGAAGAACTTTGTCCTTCCAGAGTCCACTGCACATTTGCAAAATCCTAATGTTGGGTTTGTTTTTCTGCTTGTTTCCCCCACACAATTTGG